ACACGTATTCAGCAGAATAATAAGAAAACACTGACACTCTGCTATTAACTAACCAATAAATCTCATTTAAAATTCAACAATTTTCACACTAACGTTGAAGAACTCCTTGTCCCGGATCTAATCCAGGATCACACCTTGCATTTAATTTTTATGTATCTGTCATCTCTCTAGTCTTTCATGTCCTTGACAGTTTTAGAGACTGCTGGTCAGTTGTTTTGTAGAATATCCCTCAATTTGGGTTTGTCTGATGTGTTCTCATTAGAATGAGATGATGCGTTTTTTGCAAGAATACTGCAGATGTGGGTCCCTTATCAGTGAATCACATCAGGTATGTGATGTCATTATATTTTATTACTGGTGATGCTCACTTAGGTCACTTTAGATGTTGTATGTCGGATTTCTGCATTTAAAGGTGACTTTTTCCCTTTGTAATTAGTGTTTTATAAGGAGATACCTTGAGACTACAATATCCCGTTTCTCATAATAGTTTCACCTACTAATTTTATCATCCATTAATGGTTCTTCCGTGCAGCAGTTATTCTGTGTGGTATCTGTCCTATCTGTCCATGGTGATTTCAGTTTCCATCACTCCTTCCACATGTGTTCACTGGAATGCTGGTTTATTTTTATCACTTGGGCCCATGGATGTAACCCATCACTATCATTATGTATATTGTTGCTCAGCATGTTCCTGCCTTAGCCTTTGAGCGCTCCTTCCGGTTAGCACCTCTGTCCTTACAGTGTAGCCCTATCGTTTTTTGAGCACCTCCCTACTTTCTGGCATCAGAAGGTGTTCTAGGTGCACCTGTTTTCTCCTGTTCTAGACTTGAAATCTATTCTTTCTCTAAGGAACTTTGATTTCATTTATTAAAGAAAGGTGTTTAGAAACCAAGATCTTGGAGCTAAGTGTGCTCATTGCTTCTAGGACCTCTTAGAGGATAGAGCTAGGAAATACATGTATGTCTATCAACCCACACTTACACACACATTTTTATAGCTATCCATCTGTACATATATGAAAAACTATGAGTTAATATTGATACCTCCATAAGGATTCATTTCAACACCCTGTCCACCCCCCGCAACACACCTTATTTGCAATGTCTTTCTTTGAGAGTGAGAAACCTAGCTCCCATTATCCATGATATATTTACTTATTTGTTCAGAACAGTATTCACATAAAATGATTTCATAATTGCTAATTATGCCCTGTGAAAAACAAATTTACTAAGTAGAGTACAATGTTTGTGCCCAGGTCTTCTTTGTCTGTGCTTCCTTTTATAATGCATAGTCAAAATACTTTCCTTAGGGTAGCTCTTGCTTTCCCACTTCCCTCATGTGAATATATTATTCATATGTAATATGGGTAAGTTCATTTCCTACTGTATTCCATTTGGGGTCCTCCCCCACCTCCTAGTTTATTTTAATAATTTATTTGGGGGGTATGTGAAACATTACATGGTTTTACTAATCAGGGTTATTTAAAGTATACTTAGAATAGTTTCACTCTCTCCACTCCCCATCACTCCCCTGTTTCTCTTTCCCCATTTATTTTTTTCTGCCCTGTTCCTGCTCTACTGGGGGTGGGGAACGTCCGGCCCGCAGGCTGTGTAAGGCCCTCAAAATAAGTACCATCTAACATCACACACTTCACCAAATTAGCCTGAGCAAATATAGCAGGCTAATTTTTAAGTTAATAATTGTGTATGCCCCACGAATGATGTCATAACTATCCAAATGGCCCTTGGCAGAAAAAAGTTTTCCCACCCTTGCCAGTCAATCTCATTAATTTATAGCCATCCTTTTGGCATTTCTTTTGTACAAATGAATATATGTATACGTGTACATATACATATCCTTTTCTGTCTTACATGAAAGATAGCATACTCTTTTGTATTCTCCTTTTTACATTTATAAAATTTATTTTTATTTTTTAGAGAGGAAGGGAGAGGGAGAGAGAAATAGAAACATCGATGAGAGAGAACATCGATTGGCCGCCTCCTGCATGCACCCCATTGGGGATCAGGCCCACAACCTGGGCATGTGCCCTGACTGGGAATTGAACTGGTGACCTCTTGGTGCATGGGTCGACACTCAACCACTGAGCCATACTAGCCAGGCGCTTTTTAAATTTAATATGTCCTGGAAATTACTCCATATAAATTCACAGAGACCTTCATTCTTTTTGTATACCCATTGTGTGGATATATCATAGTTCATCCAACCCCTCTTTTATAGATGACATTGAGCATCTAGGTTGAGCCTAATATTTTGTAATTACAAACAGTGTTATAGTGAATAACCTTGTGCCTATTCATTTTGTATTGTTGGAGATTTATCTTCAGAGTAGATTCCTAAAAGTGGGATTGCTGTAGCAAAAGTTAAGTGCATCTATAGTTTTTGTTAAGTGTTGTCAAATTTTCTTCTAGAAGAGTTGTACCAATCTTCATTCTCACAAGCAGTGTACAAGAGTACTTCTCCATGGCCTTGCCAACAGAATGTTACATGTTCTTTCTTTTTAAAAATATGTTATTACTGATTTTTTAGATAGGAAGGGAGAGAGAGAGAGAAACATTGATGTCAGCTGCCTCCTGCATGCCCCTAGTGGGAATAGAGCCCACCACTCGGACATGTGCCCTGATGGGGAATTGAACTGGGACCTCTCAGTCCATGGGACAATGCTCAATCCACTGAGCCACACCAGCTGGGCTATATTTTCTAATGTTTGCCAGTCTGATAGATAAGATATAGTAACTCAGTGTTGTTTTAATTTACATTTCTCTAGCTATAACACTTTTTTATATATTTAAGAGCAGTTTTATATTTTTGGGAGTAAATTGTTTCCTCCTATCTTTTTCCCCTTTTTCTACTGGGTTTTTGGTCCTTTCATCTTTGATTTTCAGGAGCTCTTTACATATTAAGGATATGTTCATTGCAAATATTTCCTCCCAGTTTGTCAGTTGTCTTTTGCCTTTGTTTGTGGTGCTTTTTTGTTTGTTTGTTTGTTTTGCAATGTAGTATATTATTTTTATGTGCTCAGATCATCAATCTTTTCTTTTATTGCCCCTCTACTTTTAGTCTTTGTATCTATACCAAGATTGAAGAGGAATTTACTCTTATTATCTTCTAGTTTTTGTATTGTTTTTATTTTCTACACTTAAAAATCTGATACATTTAGAATTTATTCTTTTGTGTGGCATGAATTGCATACCTACATTTATCCCCCCCCCCAATTGGCTACCCAGTTGTCCTGGTGCCATTTATTAAAAAGTCCATTTTTGCCCTAGTGATTTGAGATGCCACTTTGATCGTATACTAAATTGCATAGAATCACCTTCAAATATTCATTATTACTCTCTCTGTACTTTGTCATGGTATGGTTTGTCTTATGCTATCTGTTCATTGCCTGTGGCCACAAATAACATTCCAGATTGGTGCTTGCTCTTCTGAAAGAATAGTTAATTATTGTACCAATAATCTTGACAGTTAGAGAATTTTATCTTCTGGCTATGGATTTATAAAACATGGTCACCCACATTGAATCCACACCTATGAAATGCTGCTCCTCCTGTCCAAATGTTATCAGTATCTGTTGTATTGTAAAATCATTAGGCTGAAATTCTAAAATGAGTCTCAGTGCTACTTTGGAAACACTATTGAAACCTTGAAGAATAGCCTCATGAGCACTGGCTTTCCTGAGGTTCATTCTTTGACTCCTTGACGTGTTTTCTTAATTCCGCTGCTGGATCTAGGTAGACAAATTGTAATTCTGTGATTGCTGCCAGAGTCGAGTCATTACAATTACAAGGCAGTGTAACTGTTGTGTGCGCCTATGTCTAGAGTGCAGAGTTTCCTGGCAACAATGATATCCTTGTTAAAATAGAAAACCTAAAAACAAAGTCCAGACGCTGCCTTCCCAGAATGACTATATTGACGCGAGGAGGAATACCATCCTAAAGAATCCTCCTGTTTTCAAATAAACTGATCTCTATGGAGAAATAGATTAATGAAGGCTAGTGCAATATTGTACCTCTCCCCATCTTATAAGGCCATCTTAGGAATCTAAGTGCTATGGGTCTTACAAAGCACCACAAATTCTTGGGCTTCAAGTTTCAGAGTATGTGGAAAGTGTCAGAAATCCAGAGGAATTCTATTTTCTTGCCTTTATTTTTTTTCTTTAATTTTAATACCGACATATTTTAAAGTGAAGAAGAAAGGTGCAGTGAAAAATGAAGCCATGGCTTCTGGAACATGTTATTCTGCCCTTGACCTCCAGAGAGAGCAAGAGGTTATAGTTAAGAAGTAATAATTCCTGGAAAAGAACTCTCCTCCCCTCTCCCCTGCTCTCTGTCTTTCTCCTGCACCCTACCTCCATGAACATGTAGATTTTGAATAATCATGTTCTTTTTACCATTTTCTATTTTCATGTTCCTTTTTGTAACCTTTGCATGGGTTTCCCTAAACCCTTATTAAGTGTATCTGTCTTCTAGTTGTCAGCCTTTTATTCAATTCCCTTATGATGGAGGAGGTGCCTTACTGTTTCAGAAGAGTGATTATAAAGGAAGCCAGATGTAAATTTGTTTCAGCAGGTGGGGCTATTTCTTCAGAAATAGTTTGAGTTCGTTTACCTCCATTGCTCCACTCTGCCTCCTTAAAAGGGCCAATGTATTCTTTTACCCTTGTTCCCACCCACCAACAAAAAACGTTCGCGTGTATGGCTGAAAACAAAACATCGGTCTTTTTGACTAGTTAGAGAACCCACCCTCCAGGTGACTTCTGAAAAGTTTGCCCATCACAAGAATCTCTGCTGATAGAAAAGTCATAGTTTTTAGGGCATGCTTTGTTTTCTGTTGGTCTTGGGCTTGCAGGGGAAGTTATCTCCATGGTGACGGGTCTCCAGTAATTACTTGCTACTTTCTCTGGGACAAAAGCCTGTACAAAAACGATGCCCTTGTTTTAACATTTCCATTTTCTCTCTCCTCTGTGGTTATTGCTAAAATCAAGATGGGTTTGCAGTGCCTGAGTCTGGACCTTAAATGTTACACTGACTCTGAGAGCCTGCCTTCAGGTATGTTTGGGTTGGGTCGGGGTTTTTTTTGTTGCCCTGGCACGGGCTGGCCTACAGGAGCTTCTAGCCCTGGTGCAGTCCGTGCATGGACCTCACCTTTCTTCATAAGATGCATTTGGCTGTAGGTACCGTCTGCATGCTGCTGACTCCCCCATTGTTATCATCATCTCTGGCTTCCCTTCTTAGTGGACTATTTGACATTATCATTTGGATGTCTAATTGGAATTTAAAATTTATTAGAACTCTTGCCCTGGCCAGTTTGGCTCAGCGGTTGAGCGTCAGCCTGCGGACCAGAGTCCCGGGTTTGGTTCCTGCTAGGGGCACGTACCACAAAAAAAAAAAAAAGTAAATAAAATAAAATGTATTAGAACTCTTGACCTTCCCCACCCTAAACCTGTTTCTTCCCCAGTATTCCCCATTCTGGTAAAATGGACTACCGTCTAATGCTCACTTAGGGGTCATTCTAGGTTTCTCATTGTCTTCGCCCACTGCCATCTAATCTGTTAGCTAATTCTATTCTACTTCCAAAATATTTCCTATACCTGCCTACTTTTCTCTCCTGCTTTTTCCTCCACTTCTTCCAGACAACTTCTTATCAGACCATTACGTTAGCTTCCTAACACGTGTAATGAGGGCAAAGGTTTGGAAAAATTTAATGTTTTTCTTTTGTCCCTGAATACACTTGCTCAGAGAAGAGAAAAAAGAATGCAAAATAAAAAAAAGTTAGAATTTGGTTTTTGACATTCAAAATAGGGCTGTATAGAAGGACGACACGCTTGACAGCTAGTCTTTGTAGGGAGAGAAAGGGTTTTAGAAATGTTTTTAGTTTCCATTTACATAGCAAGGATCAGGACTGCAATATTAGATTATAAATTTCTCCCATAGCATACAGAATGTTTGCACTATTGATCGTTAATGCTTTGTAATAAAGCTGGAGTTGAAGATGGAGTCCTGGTAATAAGCCTGTGCTTCTGCCCAAATGGATTTTTGGAGGAGGAAGACAGAAGGGAGAGAGAGAAGGGGATGGTCCTTAGGGGATTCTGATCTTCCCTGGGCCTGCAGCTGAGAGAGAGAGAGAGAGAGAGAGAGAGAGAGAGAGAGAGAGAGATCTGTTAAATACCTGGACTAATACAAGGACAGCGGGTCAGAGGGGCCCCTTCCTTTCTCCCTAGCTTCCAGTCTAGGACACTGGGAAGAGTCACCTGTTGGCTCTGTAAAGGGGCCTTCTTGGCCAACCTGGAGGGTGACCACATAAAAATAAATGTGGAGATGTGGCCAGGGAGAATGAGGGTGTAATGTGTATGCCCATGCCTTCCTTTGTTCTCCCAAGATGTGAACTCAGAGTTGAGAGCCTGCATAGCTGGTGTGGCCCTTTTGAGATGGGGACTTCGAGTCACTCAGAGGGGCCTGTAATGCTAATGAAAGCTGAGGTGACACCAGTCAGTTAGGGAATCACTGGGACCCGACTGAGCTGAGAGCTTGGTTCAGACCAAGATATACACCAACTGCAGCCTCAGCTACAGTCCCTAAGGGCATGGGGACAAGGGACATTGCCAGGGAACCAAAGGAACCAGAGGACCCTACATGCTCTTGAGGACCCTTTCTCCCAAATTCCCAAGGTCACGCATGCTCTCTCCCTCCATACATCATTATGGGGGTCGGGGGCAGGGATGGTACCAAACTCTAAAGATTAAGCACATCTAACCAAAGAGACTGAATTTTATCTAAAAGAACTCTTTAAATTATTGGATGGGCCCAAAGCTGATCCCCTGCTCTGTTTGCTTCCCTGTAGTGGGCAGGAGCTGGTGAGCAAGAATAGATCAGCTCTAGACCGAGTGGACGTCTGTGTCTCTGCACATCTGAAGTTCTGGGTGAGTTCGTTGCGATCCTGCTTCACTGGTTGCTTCCTGCCTCTACCCTCACTGCGTCCCCAGTGCCCACCCCACACAGTGGGCAGAGCAGGCCTCAGAGGTGTGAAAATCTGTCATATCTCTTACCTAGAGCTCCCAAAGGCTTCCCATTGGGCACAGAATGAAGTACCAGCCCCTCACTGTGGCATTCAAGGTCCCACATGATCTGGGCCTGTCTTCCTCTCTGCCCTCATGCTGTTCCTTGTCACCAAGCGCCTCGAACGAACTATGCTGTTTCCATCTCAAGCCTCTGCACTTACCGTGTATGCTGGTGCCTCCCATTTGCCCTTCCAGACCTAACTTCCACCTCTTCTCCCCTTGTCCTGGGCCCCCGGAGGCTGACTGTGCGTCCTGCCTCCGTGGACACTCGCACCTTCCCGCTTCCTGTTGGAATTGACCAGGGGGAACTGCAGGGAATCAGAGCGAGAAGGGAAAAGATATTCAGTCAGGGTATGTATTCCCCTTGTCCTTCCCGGCTAGGTCACCAGGGGTTGGCCCTATCCTTTCATCGAGGGCCATGGCTCCAGGACCCTCCTTATCTTTGAATATCCTTGCACCCTTTGCCCTGCAGGCCAGCAGTGTCCCTGGCTCCCCTCCCCTTTGGTAGCCCGGGGTTATTGCGATCTCTCTTGCTGGTTTCATTAAACTCTGTCTGCACTTTTATACAGAGTCCTGTTTGGATGTCTTCTGCTTCCTACCAGACCTCAGTTGTCACACTGACCTCCTGCGGGCTTCCCACATGCTGGTTTCCTCCTCTCCATCAGTCTCAGCCCAGACGTCACCCCCTCAGGGAGGCCTGCCCTGACTTCCCACCATCTCTGCTCACCCCTGCGTCCTGCCTCCTGTCCTTGACTCTTTATCACAACATATTTTTAATTTACTGCCTTACAGTGGCCATCACCAACACTTGTTTTTGTTCTGTTGTTTCTTACAGTTTCTTCTCATGGGACTGGCAGCCAAGAATGGAGGAGGCTTGTCTGTTTCTCTCCCCATCGTGTGCTCAGCACCGAGAGCACAGCTTGCACACAGCAGGCAGCCAGGACATATTTTGTAAAGAAATGAACGAGGAGCTGACTTCTCATGCTGCCAAGAGGCCTGGGGTGTGTGTGGCAGTGTCACAAACATGTCAGGACGTTGTCTCATTTCCTTGTACCTTTATTGCATAAGGGCACTAACGGTGCTTCTCAGGTACCGTCGGTTAACTAACTCAACCACCAAAACTTAGAAAGTAGCAAAGAAGATACCACATGATTGGATTCCAGATTAAGCCCTTTTAATGGAAAGATGGAAGGGTGTCCCTACCGTCTAATCTCTCTGTCTCCTTTTCCTGGTTTAGGTGTGCCCAGTCTCAGCAGGTGTGGAAACCGCTTTGTGTTTCTTTAGAATCCCGAGGCCGCAGTCGGGGATGGTGCCACCAAGAGAGTATCACAGGTCATTTTCCAGGCCAGAAGGTGGGCTCCGAGAGGACTGTATTGGGATGCTTCGGCTGCATAAAGATAGCAGGGTGAGTGCCTAGCAGAGTGGTTCTCGATATGAGCAGTCCGAGTTGCCTGTGGAACAAGCATAGCTCCCTGGGCTGCATCCCAGGCCCACTGGGTCATTCCAAGGGTTGGGTTCAGGAATCTGTGATTATTCCACAGATGCTTCTGCGACAGGCAAGGTGGGAGCCCCTGGACTGCGGTAAAGAGGATGGGCTCTGCTTCGCCCCCTCAGTCCAGGGAGTTAATTGTGTTGTAAGTGTCCTGAACCATTAGCACAAGGCTGAGGAACCCAACATACTTTATGTTTGAGTCCATAGACATTACCTCTCATGTCCTTGGAATGATTTCTCAGTAGCAATTGGAGTCTTGAAAACTTGGCATTTGAAGGCTGGTAGGATTTTTAGTTTATAAAGTAAGACATGGAAATTTGGAAAGGTTAGCAAACCGAGTTGACCACACTGCCCTTGAGACCACTCTCCCCCTTCTAAGCCTCATTATATAACTCAACAGTTCATTGCATAAAACTCCTTTTATTTTAAAACGAGACACCTATCAGTATCCTATAGTTTGTTGTTGTTTCCTCTTGTTCCTTTCAATACCTTTAGACAGGCCCACATCATTCTATTGCTCTTCACTTGCCTGTGTTTCACAGGTGTTGTGTCTTTTACCAACTGAAAGCAAGACCCTCCACCAGCAAAAAGGTTATGACTTACTTTATAACTGTGGTCTGGAACTGACCTTCAATATCGCCGAGGTGTGTCTGCACCTGTTTCCAAAGAAGACAATCTCGTCAGTGAGTTTAGCATAATTAAGTTGGCCTTGTCTTCAGAAGCCCTCTTCCGCTCCTGTCTTTTCTGTTTGTTGCTTCTAAAGTAGCAGGCCTCTGTGACCAAAATGATGTGTTCATTGGGCCAATGTCAGTTTCTAGTTCTTAAGTGAACATTCGGGTTGTATAGATTTATAGTAATATCAAATCTGAAATTCTCTGATATATATCTTCCATTTATATTATACCATGAATATTTTAAAAAATCAACTTTATTGCCTGGCCAGTGTGGCTCAGTGGATTGAGCATCTTCCCATGGACTGAGTGGTCCCAGTTCGATTCCCGGTCAGGGCACATGCCTGGGTTGCAGGGCTCATGCAGTAGGGTGTGGGCAGGAGGCAGCTGATCGATGTTTCTCACATCGATGTTTCTATCTCTCTCCCTTCCTCTCTATAAAACAAAAACAAAAATAAAAAAAAACTTTATAGAGGTATAATTTACATAAAATAAACTGTACTCATTTAAGTACAATTTGTTACATTTTGCCAAATATGTGCACCTTGTAACCACTACCAAATTCAGATACCAAATATGTTCTTCACCCCAAAAAGTTCCCTCATTCCCTACTGCAGTCACTTTCTCCCTCCACTTTTGGCCCCAGCAAATAGTGATATGCCTTTTGCTAATACAGATTAGTTTGCATTTTCTAGAATTTCATACCAATGATATCATATGTAGATATGATTTTGCGTCTCATTTCTTTTACTCTTAATCATGTTTTTAGGTGTAAATATTTTTCCATTTTGCACTAGTTTTTTTTTTTTAATACCCAATATTTTCAATACTCCTAGCCCCTGCTTCCTTAAACCAGATAACTTAAGCTTGGTATGTGTATTTTCTGTACCTTCTATGAATATTCAATCAACCGTATGCGCATACAAGGGAGCCTAGGTAATTCAGTCTGTAACGATCATCCTCCATGGACACAGAATAGGACAGCAAAGGGCAGAGAATGGATTTGGAGGGACAAAGAGAGACTAATCAGCAGAGGTAGGGAGGTATTTCTGTTTAACTGAGGAGAAAACTGGGAAACTCAGAAGAAGCCTACAAATAATCAATGGCAGAGCCAGGGCTCAATACAGCTCTTTGACTCCAAATCCCACATCTCATTTCCTTCTAAGGTGTTAGGCTCAATAAAAATTTTAAGATCCCAAGGTCAAGAAAATTTAGAACCTGGAGAAAAGATAATGACATTAGTGATGTTGGTGGTAACAATGATGATGGTGGTGATGGTGATCAACATGATGTTAGTGACAGAGGAGATGATGTGATGATTGTGATGATGATGGTTGTGGTAGTATTGGTGATAAGAATGCTGGTAGTGATGATGAAGGTGATGGTGGTGGTGGTGGTGGTAGTGGTGATGGTGATGGTAGTGATGAAGAAGATGATGGTGATGATGGTGGTGGTGGTGGTGGTAGTGGTGATGGTGATGGTAGTGATGAAGAAGATGATGGTGGTGGTGGTGGTGGTAGTGGTGATGGTGATGGTAGTGATGAAGAAGATGATGGTGATGATGGTGGTGGTGGTGGTGGTAGTGGTGATGGTGATGGTAGTGATGAAGAAGATGGTGGTGGTGGTGGTGGTAGTGGTGATGGTGATGGTAGTGATGAAGAAGGTGATGGTGGTAGTGGTGGAGATGATGGTGATACTGATAATGATGATGATATTCTTAAGAACACTGAGATCCATGGAGAATTGAAGGGGTAAAAAATAAAACTCAACCTTTCCATAGTGCTTTCATGTACTTTTTCTCATTTCATCTTCATAACAATCCTGTGCTCTGTGTATTATTATCATTTCCATTTTAGAGGAGGAAACTGAAGCCGAAGTAATTTTCCAACCATTGGCAAAGAAGCAGGTGATAAGCATTTAGTCCACACTTTACATTCAGGTGTTTGTGAAAATCAGTAAGCAAGTATTTTAATGACATCTATTAGGCATTCAACAGATTTGAAAAATATTATCAATTTTTTATGCTTAAATAAAAGCAAAATTTTCTCCTGCAAAGTTATTGTCGTGTCTTAGAAAGAGTTAATCTATATTAACTTGGAGGAATTTTTATTTGTTGTTGTTATTATTAGGTGGGGAAATAAAGATGTCAATAAATGTATATAGTAAGTTCCATTTTCATTAAATGAATTTCACGCATATTGACCTCCAGCTCCCAGTTTGGTTTGGCCACACTGCAGTAGTTTTAGGAGAGCAGCAGGTGGAAGGAGAGGGAGGCCAGGGGGCTATCCCCCAGTCCTGTCTATTTCCTCCTTACTGGGCCCTGGTTTAGGCAGGTGTCCACGGCTCCTGCTGGCCTCCCCTCTCCCACAGCCTGGACCCTGACAAGGTCTCTGTAACATCACTCCTTCCTCTTGCCCTTAAGCTTCGGGATGGTAACTGCTTTCTGTTCGTCCTGGTTGCTGGTTGTTTTACCATCCCCTTGACCTTGCCCACCCCCTTTGTGTCCATTATTAAGCTAATATCACTCAGCTCCTAACTCTTCTGTGCCCTGATTTTTGGTGCCGAGCTGGGACTTTGCATGTTGCACCCCCTTTGCCGGCAACTCCCTGTCCGTTCTGCCAACATGGAGTGCTGCAAGGAGTCTGCAAAGGCTGGAGGAGGCAGATGGACCTGGTGCTCTCTTTGTTTGTTCTTCTTGTTCCAGTCCTCTCTCAACAGCCCATCCCTGCAGCAGCAGCAGGGAGCTGGTGTTGGTCAGGTTGTACCTCTGAGCTTCTGTGTTCAAACAACCAGAGCTCCCCACTTGGTTCCCCAGCCCAAGGAGAGCTGCCTGATTTTACAGGTACTTTCTGTTAACCTCAGTGATCCTTCTCACATATTCAGAGCTCCAACCCCTCTTTTTTTCTTTCTCTTTTTACCATCTTAACGATTTCTAAGTGCACAGGTCAGTAGTGTTGAGTGTATTCACCTCGTTGTGAAACAGATCTCCAGAACGTTTTATCTTGCAAAACTGAAACTCCGTACCCTTTCAACTCTTGCCCGCCTCTCCCAGTTCCTGGCACCCACCATTCTGCATTCGGTCCTTAGGAATGTGACTACTTCAGATACTTCCCGTAAAGATCTCCAATTCTTTCGAACTGTATCTTTTAATTAAAATAATTGGCATAGTTTCTATTTTCCTGATTGGACTCTCTGCAAAGAGTCCCCTCTTTAAATAATTTTCAGTTTGAAGGTGCCTCCTGATTTCTGTTGGGATCCCATCTGATACACTCTCTTGGGGGCAGGATGGCAATTGTTCAAATAACAAAGGTGAAAGATCCTTTTAAACCAAAAGCATTGTATATTATTACTATTGCTGCTAGTAGTAGTAGTAGTATTGCAAATGAGGCCATATCTGAGCCTCCCTTGCAGTGTCTTTTGGGCACTAACCCCCAGAGAGGAGGAATAACAAACACAGGAAAATTGCTGCAACCTCAGAGTTTCTCCAGACCCTTGTGGCTCTGGGCTTGAGGGTCAGAAAGAGAAACCAAGATGGGAATCCTGTCTCCTTCCCTAAGGCAGGGTGTGGGGAACATGGTAAAAGTCTCATACTCTTATTCACAAGATAATCTGGGGAAGAAGCCAGGTTGTCTGTGTCCTTAAGTGATACCGAGACTCTGGCTCCAGTCAAGATGAGGCTATGATCCCAGATGTCAGTCCCCAGTGACTCAGCGACACTTTGACATCCTGACTTAAAATGAAAAATCTGGTTGCTTTTCCAGAGTAGTTAAAGACTGGAAAATCCCCAACCACCGGCCAACTCACAAATGCCAGACACTCCTTACAGCCATGGCCCTGGCAGCCTGGGGCCCCAACCTCTTTACGAGGAGCCCTCCTTTCTGAGGGGTCAGATGGTGAAACGAGGCTCTGAGCGTTCTCGCTCAGGGGCTGTAAAGGGGCAGCAGGAATTGTGGGAAAGTCTAGTGAGGAGGGCCTTGGCTTCCCTGAATAGTGTGCCCGGCTGGCTGTGCGTTCTGGAGAATACAGTCAACCCCTGACAGGACAGAAGGCCTCAAAACAGGGAGAAGATTAGGCGTTTCTGTAGCTGCTGTTAATCAAGAAAACCTGAGCAACAAGGGCAGGCTATTGCTTCTTCTGAAACTGTTTGACTGGCCTGGCCTCTTTTGGGTAGGAGCAACCATGAGAAAAAGCTCATCTATGTGAGTTTTGTGGTTGGATGTTATGGGACACACACATGAGCTA